ACGTACCTTCCTGAGTAAGTGTCTCTCCCTGAGCAGTGGTTTGCGTGGAGTTTTATGTGTCGTCGTCCTAGAGAATGTGTACATATATATATATATATTTTATTATTATTTTGCGCATTTTGTCTCTTCTTTTTTAATGTATTTGTTTATTTGTTTGTTTTATTTATATATATATATATTTTTTTTTTGGACCTGATTGATGATTTTGGTTTGTGCCTGCTTGCTTCTACACGAGTTGCTGTTTTCTATATATTTTTTTTTGTTTAGTTTTATTAGCGGATTATGTACATGCGGGACCTTGGACCTTGTTCTAGACGGTGTTGACGGTACCAGTGATTCATCCTCCTCCTCTTCCTCCTCCCCTTCCTTCCTCCTCCTCCTCTTCCTCCTCATACTCTTACTATTCTTTAGCATTTGTTTCCTTTTTTTTTTTTTTTTATGTATATATATATATATTATATATATATATATATATATTTTTTTTTTTTTTTTTTTTTTTTTTTTTTTTTTTTTAATGACTTTGCACACGTATCCTGTTCTCCACATGACTTTATTTTTTTTACATTGAGGATCTTGACTTCGACTTCGAGACGCGCATCTCTTGATTTATTTTTTTCTTTTCTCTTTTTCTTTTTTTTCTTTTTTTTTTTATCATTATCTCTTTATCTCTTTTTACCTTATATGCAAGTTTTTCATTTTGCATTGGGCTGATTGAACAAAATTTGTTTCATGGTTTTAAAATTTATTGAGACTGGAGATTCAAATTCAGATCAGGACAATATATATATATATATATATATATATATATATATATATATATATATATATATATATATATATATATATATGTATGTATGTATATATTCATGTATACATAACACGAACGAGTGTCTTATGTGGTTGCTGATTTACATTATCGTAACTGAAAAGTTATACAATAGATGTATAGGTAATTATGAACTTGGAAGTCACAAACACAAACATGAATACTGTTGCAAGCATGAATAGTCTAACTTGCCTGAATTCACAATAAAACTTTGGGGACACACATTCGCACTCACACTCACACTCTCACACTCACTCTCTCGCTCTCATTCTCTCACTCTCATTCTCACACACACTCATGCACACACTCACTCACACACACTCTCATGCACACACTCATGCATACACACTCATGCGCACACACTCACGCGCACATACTCTCATGCACACATATTCACACTCTCTTAAGCACACACTCATGCACACACTCTACTCCCACACACACACTCTCTCATGCACACTCTACTCTCACTCACAAACTCTCACACACACACTCACAAACACACACACTCTCACTCACAAACTCACACACACTCTCACTCACACTCACACACACACACTCACACTCACACTCACACACACACTCACACACACACTCACACACACACACTCACACACACACACTCACACACACACACTCACACACACTCACACACACTCACACACACACACTCACACACACACACTCACACTCTCACACTCATACACACACACACACACACACACACACACACACACACACACACACACACACACACACACACACACACACACACACACACACACTGAATGAATGAATGAATGAATGAAGCTGTTCACCTCATAGAGTATATAAGTGATCGTGAGTATAGCAATAAAAGTGCTATGAAAACAAAATTTACTGTACAGTTGAAATGCAATCTTACACCATTCATATACAGTTCTCATTTGATTTTGAATTTCCACCGTCTGCTTTTTATGGCAATCTTATTTGGGCTACCGTTCACTCCCTTGCACATTTAAAAGAAAAAGAAAAAGAAAAGAAAAAAAAATGCACATATTGATAGAGATCGACTCTGTAAGGCTTTGGCTGGAAAATCTCAACAAAAGGAAATCACTCTCCTTGTATTCTTCAAAGGCATAATGATTTATAAAAAGGAGCTGATAGCTGTAAATGATCGGCCTTCTCCGCTCTCGTTCCCCCCGTAGCCAAAGTCTTACGGTAGTTTTGACATGACCAAGAGTCTGACAACCTCCCTAGGGTACTGAATGCCCCCTGTGACATGGAACTACAATTTGTGTAGCATGTTTTTTCCAGTGAGATCTATGACCTCTTATTAGAAGCATAAGTTGTGAAGATATTCTCATAGTTCTGATTTGGTAGTTCAGACAAAAGTAGATCATAGGCTTACATCCCCATAGCCATGTCATTGTAAATTCATTATGGTTTTGTTCTAGTACCGTCTTTGCTTTCGTAACGTAGGAGCCAGAGTTGCATCTTTGCTGGTATTCAGAGCGCATTTTTAGAAGATAGTGTTTTTATTATTGTGAATATTATTAATATTATTATTACGTTATTATTTGCATATTACCATAAGAAAAGAAAGAAAGTAAAAAAAAAAAAAAAGCAACAGTATATTTTGAGAGCATTTCCTGCTATACATGATTGTGTGCCACCTGTTATTTTTAGGATTTT